GGGGGGGGGGGGGGAGGGCTGTATGGGGGTCTCCTGGGTGCCAGGGAGATGGAAGAAAGGGTCTTAGGCTACAGGTCCTCAACACCCTGCAAGATCAGCACTGCCTGGTTGCAATGAGGCCCCATGGACTTCCTTCCCCGAGCTGTTGCAGGGTCTTCCCCAGCTGAGGTGGTCAGAGAGAGAGGAAGCCCTTGGGAGAGCAGCCCCTAGGAGCTGTCTCCAACCAAGACCACCATCTTCAGGAGCACAAACACCTCATGGGGCTATGCTGCTTTTCTTCACCTGCCCTGACTGATGTAGGCTCCCCTGCCACCACCCAGCCTGAGAGGGGGGTTGTTCCTCCCCTACCTCTTGCCCCCCTCCCTGTTGATAGCTGTGTCCCAGTGGCAGGCAGGGAACAGGATGGGTGGGAGAGGTGGACTGGAGCCCCTGGCACATGGAAGAAGGACTGACCCTGTTTAAAGACACTTTTTGAGGAGGTTTCTGGTCAGTATCAGTTGCCCTCAATTGCTTCCCCCCTCCCCTTTTGTAAAATATAAAGGAAAATAATAAATCCCTCTGCTATTTAGCTATATTTATTTCCCTCAAACCCTGCCACCATCCTGTTTGGTGCTCATTGCGGGCACGATCACCCTCCCTTTGCCTGTCATCTGTGGGCACTGCACCAGCTCCCTGGGGCTGTGCCCTCCAGGGCCTGAGAGGCCAGGTGAAAGGGGAATCACCCGTGCTGGCCCTGGAGCTCCAAGCACTTTAATCAACCGGAAGTGAAGTGTCAGCCCTGCCCACCTCAGCTGCCAGGAATGGTGGTTACATGTCTTTTCTCCCCTGTGCCTCCCACTAGAGGAACGGAGTCAGACCCACAGAGAGCAGATGGGGGGCTGCTTCAGAGAGGACATAGCTGCCTTTCCTGTACAAGACCTCTGTAGGAATCCCAGGCCTGTAGAAAAGGTGGATGGAACAGAAGAGATGTGGGTCTTCAGTGCATGGGGAGGGCAGGCCACACCAGCTTCTAGGGGTTGGCTGGGGCTGGAGAAATGGGTCTGAAGGGGCATGGGGAGAGTCGCCCATCCCCTCCAGGTAGTGGCTAGGAATGAAATGAGCATGTGGGCTGAGAGTTCCCAGTCCACTTGCAGGCTGGGACAGGAGCGATGGTGATCCTGTTTCCCTATTCTTGCACCTACCTACTGCCCTTGCTTCTGGTCCAGCAGGTGGGCTGGGATGCTGTGGTCTCTGTAGGTATGGCCATGCTCTGGGGCTGCCGCTGCAGCTGTCAGGGCCCTGCCCACAGAGAGCTGTGTGTTCTGAGTGGCACTGTCTGTGTAGAGATGTGTATAATACCCTGTATATATTTGTGTACAAAAGAAAAAAGGAAAAAAGGAGCTATTGTTTGTGCAGTCTTTTTTTTGTGGAGTGGGTTGGGGGCTGGGACCTGGGAGGAGAGTACCCCAGCTGCTGCAGGGCTGCAGGAGCATCCATGGTACAAAAGGAGGAGTGGGGAGTAGTGTGAACACAAGCCCTGCCCTGCTGCCAGGAACTCAGCCATGGCTCACAGGCTCTCTCTCACAGTATGAATGTTCCCTCTGACTTACAGAGGCATTAGAGACTTTGCTGCTAAAAGTAAGTAGATAGGCTGCTGTGTGCACTGAGGTTTGAGAATGATGTGGTAGGGGAGTTTCAGTGGTAGCCTCATGCTACACGTTAGCACACCTCTGCTGTTGTAATAGCAAGTTACATAGCCACTCCTGCCATATCCATTCAAACTCTGGACACCTGGTTTGGGTGGATAGCTAAAGCCTTTGGGAAAGTGTGAGAGGTGCTCAACTCCTGTAGCACAGAGGAGCACTTTCTTGAAACATGCTGCACGTATGTCAGCCATCCCCCTGAGTGCTGGGGCAGACAGCAAGCAGCCAGGCCCAGGATGCTCCCTGCTGCTCTCTGTGCAGGCTGGATCTGGCATGCTTCCCAGGAGCCTGCTGCTATGGAGGCTGTAAGGAGCTATGCTCCTTATATTGTGCACGGTGACTGTTGCTCGTTGCTTGTAGGAGGGAGCAATGGAAAGGCAAGGCCTGGTCTGTGTTGCTGAGAGACGAACAAGTGATCCCAACTCCATCCCTGCCTCATTGTGATCAGGCCTCATGGCTTCCTACGCCAGCAGTGTGGCACCAGCAGGGGCCAAAAGACCCTGCTGCCCACAGCCCAAAGGACAAGGGAAAAGACAATGCCAGAGAACAAAGAACTGAAGACAGAAGGAACCATGCCTGCTGTCAAGTCCCAGCAGCCATCACTGCGAAGGAAAGCTTGAGGGAAGGAAACAAGGAAATTGCACAGGGATTTTGCAGGTGTTTTAGAGTTCTTAGTTTATTTCCAAGCATAGGAAGGACATGTCACGTGCCTTTGTGACAGGACTGTTGAGGTGCTGTCTCCAGGAGAGGGATCTGTGAAAGCAGCTTTGGGGGCCACTGAAGGGTAATAAGGCAGGAGCAGAACAGGACAACAGGGTCGCAAGGATGGGCACAAACCCAAAAGAGGAACAAGCCCTGATACTACAGGCCTCTTGCTCTTTGAAATGACAGTGCTGCCTGCAACGCCATGCAGAGCTAAATAATATCTCCAGCTGGGACCCCCTTAGGCTTCCAACCTGTGGCAAGCCTGGCTAGGAAAAAGATGGAGCAGCCCTTGCAACAACCCAGAGCAGGGTCCCAAGGCCTCCTCTGTACCAGGATGGGCAGAACAAGCTGAATGTAACGGAGTCCCCTGTGTAGGGATAGGGCAGCTCTAGTGGGTTCCAGCCAGGACCAGACTGCTCCCTTGTGTGTGCAGCAGCAGGACCACGCTACAGCTGGTTTAAAATATTTTGGTTGCCCTTCCCTCAGGTAAGGGACATAGCTCCTGGCCCCATATGCAACCTGCTCCCTGCTTAGGAAGGATTTACCCCCTGGGGGAAGTTGGGGTGCGGTAGAAAGCAGGTGCCCTGTGAGGCCTGGGCTCTTGCAGGCTCGATGCCAGCTGCTGCAGTGAGTGTATGGGCACAGCCTCCCCAGCTGCAAACAGGCACCAGAGAAGGAGAGGTAGCTCCAGGGTTGGTGACACCCGTTAGGATCACCCTGTTTGGCCCTGGCACCAAAAGAATGGCAATACAGGGTTTCTTTCCTGGGGTGGGGCTGGGCTGAGCTGCCCATGCCAGGCCATGTGAGATATACTGAGCTAAACCACACCAGGCCAAGCTGTGCCAATCCATGCTATGCCAGGCAAAGCCATGTTGAGCCACACAGGGCTCCACGGTACAGTGCCAAGCCCTGTGTGGCCATGCCCGCTGGTAACAGCACCACCCAGCATAGCTATGCCGTGAGTCATGGAGGGCACGCAGGGGCAGCCCCGATGTGTCTGCGGAAAACCCCAGGGCAGTGGGACCTGCCCAGAGAGGGCCCTGCTGGCACCCAGCAGCGAGGAGCAGCTGGTGCGGAGGGGTGGTGTTGCCAGCCGGGACACTTAGGGAGGCCGTGGCAGCTGGTGCTGGCGTTGTTGACTGTGACCACCTGGGCTTAGCGATTGAGAAGGTGCGGGCACAGTCCCTGCAGACATGAGGGAAGGAAGAAGGGACACAACAGTCTGCGATATCCAGTGGAACCACCGTACTCAGCCGCGGCACCAGAAGGTCAATAAGTCCTGGGGACAAGGTGCAGTACAGAGTTTCACCCAGCTATGCTGGGGTGCCGACAGTGTGGAGCAGTAACCCACAAATTTATTCCTAGGGCAAAGTTGCTTCCTCTTTTCCTTCCAGGTCCGGTTTCCGTGTGCACCCAACCCTTTCCTCAGAACAATGGTGGAAGGAGCACGCCCATCTCGCTGGTACCCCTCCATCCCTGGGAGCTGGGAGACGGTGATAGCAGACAGAACCTAACCATCAGTCTCGATCCATAATCCCCTCCCAGTGTCTGTAAACTGTCACTGCTCCTTTAATTCCCCCTCCCACTGCCCTCCCGGCTTTGCTCGTACATCCTGCCCGCCGAAACTCCACCTTCTGCGGGGCTGTACGGAGCCGGGCTGGGCTGGCCGAGCCGGGCCGAGCTGAAGCGGGCAGGGCGGTGGCGGCAGCAGCTTCCGTAAGTCCATCTCCCCCATCCTCACCCTTATCCGATCACCAAAATGGGGTTAAGCACCGAGGGCAGCCCGCCGCCGGGCGAGCAAGGCTGCGGGGCCGTCCGTCTCCCCCTCCCCGGCTGCCTCCTCTGTTTTCTAAGCTTATCTAGGTATGCCTACCCCTTCCATCCCCTTTCTGTCTGCGGGGATTTTTGCACTAGGTAACGCATCCGCAGAGACCCAGAGGCTTCCCAGTCGGGGCGGCGACTAAACTGAATACCGGCAGCCTCCTACGATGCGCTGCCGACCCCGAAGCCAAGCCCGCATCCCGTCAAAACGACGCGGTAACATAAAGCGGAGCCTATGGGAAACGAGGATCTTTGTCATCCGGAGGGCTGGAAAGGGCCTGAGAGCTGCTTGAGCACTGTAGGATGCCATGGGCGCCTTGCCCCGAGCTGAGTATGCGGCAGGATACCGTGTTTCAGGGCTGGTTTTGAGGAAGGCAACTCCCCACTTCCGCTGATTTGCAAGAGCAGCTGGCAAACCAGAGATCTGCGAAGATTTTTGGCTGGACTTCAACAATGATGCTGCCCAAGGGTTTTGCAGTATGCGCTAAAGTGCACAAGGTGTCAGGGACCCTGCAGGAACCGGTGTGTCTTTTTGCTCCCACCTGGGACAGATCAGAGGTGCCTTGAGTTCTGGAAAGCATCATATTGTAGTTAGATGTCACCTGTGGTGGAAAACTGCCCTG